GCAGGCTGAAGACCCGCAGCTCGCTAGATGTCCGGCCAGGGCGGCCACCACGTCCGGATCGCTGCTTTGTGTCGACTTGGCCACGAGGCCTGCCGGGCCCCAGGACAGACCAGGGCAGGAGGGGAAGTCGGGGCAGGCGAGGGGCACTGACTCACTGTAACTGCGGTCTTGGGGGGAGGTGGCCAACAGCTCCAAACCAAGGGCCAATGGACAAGGGACTCCGGCTTGGGATCTCAATGCCGCCCCACCTGTGGACACAGCTCTGGTCAGGTGCGACCTGGACCCCAACCCGAGGGACCAGAGAAGGGGTGGGCGGCGGACCCCTAAGGGGAGCTGCATGGGCTGTGCGTGTCCGGTCCTCAGCGTCAGCACGGAAACCTGCAAACGCTCACGGCAGGCTGGAGAAAGAACTTTCATAGCACGAGGAGAACAGTTTTAGGAAAGAAAGTTTCTCTTGCTTTCTTGAGAGAGAGCTAGAGAGACAGCGAGCGTGCACGCAGGAAAGGAGAGGTGCCGGGCAGCTGAGGAAGGTCGCTCGGTGCCTGTCGAGGGTGAAAGTGACTTTTCCCTCTGCTTCTGCAGACGGATAGCAGAAGCCGCTGTGAGATGCCAGGGAGTTTTTTACTTCTTTTTCCTCCTCTGCGAGGCTGGGTCATCCGAGCCCTTTGGCGGGAACCGAGGCAGACACTGGGGCGGGGAGCTCGCGCACAAAACCCAAACACCAAGACCGACGTGGTCACCACTCTCGGGCGACAGCTTCTCCAGAGCGAGAACGCGTGAGCAGCCCCGTGGCAGGACGAAGGCCACGCTCCCCGCCTGGCGTCCCGCTGGCTTCACACCCTGCGTCTGGGACGGTGAGATGAAGAGAGTCCTTCAGGCTTCCGGACTGTTATAGCAGGGTTCAAACTGTGCTGCACACCACAATGTCCAGAGAAAGGACAGTGGCCCGTGCTCAGAGGCTTGGCCTCTGTCTCGGAGTCTGAGGGGACCAACGCCCAGCACCAGCCCGCGTCCCGGGCGGGAGCGGGCAGACGGGTGGAGACGCCGCTGTCCTGTTCACTGAGGTCACAACCACCTTCCCGTCCCTGCCTCCCGAACAGAACAAAGCTCCGGAACACGGAGCAGGGAAGAAATGTGCTTAAGCTCATTTGGAGGTTCTTCTTGGTGGGAGGAGCGATGTCATAGTGACGCTCTGTAGTAGAAAATCCGATTTAACGGGATCCGCGCTCTCCAGTCACCTTCTCCTTTGTGCCTTCGCTCCCACGCCCTGGCATCTACCCCACCAGCCCTCAGCTCACCTGTCGGCCCGGGTCCTGCCAAGGCCACGTCAACCGTGATGCTGGGTCCTCCTCTCCCGGCGCACCTGGCGCAGGTGACCCGGTGCACCCTCCCTGCCCCTCCCCACGCACACGCCTCAGACCCGACGTCGGTGGGGCTCTGTGGGGTGCCCTGGGGTGCAGGCCAGGCCCTCCGCAGACCCCACTGCTGGGCTCCAGTCCCACAGCGTTCCAGGCTTCTGCGTGCAAACGACCCACAGCGGGAGCTTGTGCCTGCGCCTGTCCCCGCCCGGCCGTCCCCACCCCTGCGTTCCGTGCTGCCTGGCCACTGGTGAGAACGGTGCCTGGGCCACGAGGCCCACGACACTCGCTGTGCGGCAGACGCGTGACCACGTGCAACGTGCCAGAGGAAATGCCCTTTTTAAAAATTAAAGGCTGGGATTTTTAATATAATCACCAGGCACAGCCTCATTAAAAAATGCTTATTCCATGAAACTACACGGCCCCGGAACGAGTGCTTCCCAAACGTGAGCAGCAGCAGGGTCTAACCGGGAAGCTTCGGAATTTTAAATGTTCACTTGTGAAAAATTTATTCTTATTGAAACAATTTTTTAATTAGGGATTTCATAACTGTTAAAGTCAATAGTATATACAAATGAGCAAACTCACTCACGGTTAAAGATAAAATCCGACCGCATCTGGCTTCCTCTTGGAAGAATCCTTAAATCGGCCTCTTTCTGCGAAGGCAGCCACGCTGAGCCACGTGGGCACATCTGCCTCAGTTTACCACATGGAGAACACCACTGCGCCTGTCTGGACCCGTCTGAAACCGCAGCTCCCAGCCTGTGCAATGCAAGGGGGGGTCCCACACCCAGACTAGCAGAGTCCGGCCTCCCAGCGGGGGCACAGAGGCCAAGACCACTCTACTGAGAAGGAGTCCTGGCCTTCAAGTCATGATGGACGGGTCCCTTCTAAAATGCACCCGCCTTTGTACAAGTCCAGGAAGCGTCCAGTGACCCCCGGGGGAGGGTGAATGCTGAGCCGCCCCTGGTCTCTGCCTTGTGATTCCCCTAAAGCAGAGGCTCAGGTTCCAGCTTGTATCCACACGCAGGTGTACAGCCCCACGTCACCTGGGCACTCGCTTCCGTGCACGGCACCCTTCTTCTCCAAGCCCCGGTGCGGGGCAGTGACCCCCCCCACCCCGCCCAAGCCCGGCTCCTGCAGACCTGCAGCCAGGGCGAACGTGGACCGCGCTGCTCACCAGCCGGCAGCCGCCCGCTTGCCCTTTGCTCTCACACGTGCACCAATGACGACGGCCAACCCAGAAACTGGACCCGGCAAACACCACAGAGCCATTCCAGGCCAATCAGTGGCCATGAAAAGGGACACGTGTCAAGCCGGACGAGAGCTTCTTTCGCTTCTGCCGTCTCACAGAACCCGACGCTGGAGTCACGCTGCAGCACCGTGGACTGAGGGCGGGTGCTCACACCTGGGGCTCTGGCCACACCTCAGTGGGGGAGGGGTGCTCACGGCAGCTCCATCCCGCCCGGTGGTCAGCGGTCAGCGCAGCCGGGCACCCCACCGCTGGCCACTGGGCCCTGCTTCGCTCAGGTGGGCATAAGTCACTGTGTGTAACTTCCTCTGAGAAGCTCGATGTTCTTAACCATTTCCTTATAAAATCTGGTAGAACAGAAAGATACCTTAGGGAAAAACAAGGACTTTCTCTCCAACACAAAATTCTCAGGCCTGTGAACACACGCCTATTAGGAATAAAATGCAGACGTAAACCATATTGTTGCAACATGCTTGTTTCCTGGCCTTCAAAGCACTGAGAATTCCAGCGCAGAATATCAAAAGTCCGTGGTTTTATTTTGACCCTGGGTTATTTTTTTAAGGGCTGTAAGCGCTTTTGTGAAACTAAACCACACACTGCTGTGAAATAAGATTAGGAGTGTGCACTGACTTCTTTGGGGTTCGATTTAGAGAGAAGACTTGAATAGTGTTTACATGTCTTCCTCTGTCCAGTAAACACACGGAACACCAGAAAAAGACCTTCCTTAGCACCACGGACTGCAGCCTTCACACCCCGCCTGGGGACCGAAACCACACGAGGCAGACATCTGGGCATCATGTCCCAGAGCCCACACGGTGCTGGCAGGGTTGGGGTCTCCCTGGGCAGCCTGGTCCCCCGACTGTCCTGCCCACACCGAGGACGCACCACCACCCCCGGCAAGGCTTAAGTAAACAACCGGCTCCTTACGGCCAAAGGCATTAGGAACATCCAAAGTAATTAAAGATGTTTTGCTTTCTCCTTCCTCCTCTCCTTAATGGGTTTGTGAGGTGCTCGGACCAAAAACACTTCACGACTGGCCCGGTGCCCGGCTGTGTTTCCATTTAATGACTAAAGCCACCGGCTTCTTAGTGAAATGCGGAACTTCAGTCACTTAAATCTGGACTCCAACTCAAAAACTGCTGGGAAACTTTAACTTCAATTCTTAGAGCAAGGAAAGAAGGAAGCAAGAAAGGAGGCAGGGAGGGAGGGAACGAAGGACGGATGGAAGGAAGATGGAGACAGGGCAGCACACAGGTGGGAGGGAGGCAAAGGGAGGGCGGGAAGAGACGGGAGGAGGGAGTGGCCTGTCTTTTCTACCAGAACCTTCCGTGAGGGTGTAACGGTCTGTTCTGCACTGCCCAAAGCTGAACCCACTGCCCACGCAGCTGCTGAGACCTGAACCATGGCCAGTGCAACTAAGGAACTGAATTTTAAAGTGTACTAAATTTCAATTAATTTAAATCGAAACAGCCACATGTGGCCAGGAACCACCTCACTGGAAACAGGGCAGCTTTACGGCAGAAAACGCGGTTTGCCCCGCCCAGGGGGAGCCGCGGCCGGCTTGCTCTGGTCTTCCAGGTTCCCACAGAGGTGAGGAAAGAAGCATGCTTCTCTTTCCCGTTTCTCATTCTCGACTGACAACTTGATTTTTGGGGGTAAAAAAATAATATATTGTTCTGCTTTTGCATCTTATCCCACCCACATTCTACACTCAAATCTCCCTTCAGAGAAAGGAGTTCTGAAACCGGCTGAGAACGGTCATCATGTGAACCTTCTCTAAAACTTCTTTTAAAACACACATTGTTCTGTGAATCTGTGATAATTTTCTTCCTCTTTTTGGTATTTCTTCTTCACTTCTTTCCTTTCTGCTCTAATGCAGATTAGATTACTAAAGCAAAGAGCACTGTAAGTCTGAACTACACCAAATCACACCAAATCAGATGGTGGGGAACTGGTGTGTAAACGTGCACACGCACATGTATGTCTCTGTGTGCACATGTATGTCTGTGTGTGCACATACACGTCCCTGTGTATACATGCATGCCCGTGTGCAATGTATGTCTCTGTGTGCACATGCATGTACGTGTGTGCACACATATGTCCATACGTGCACATGTGTGTCCCTGTGTACACATGCAGGCCCCTGTGTACACATGCATGCCCCTGTATGCACATGTATGTCCCCGTGTGCACATGTATGTCCCCGTGTGCACATGTGCCTCTATGGCCTGGCTGTGTGTGCAGACAGGCATGCTGAGGAGATGCTCCACAGAGCGACTCTATTCCTTGGAGTCTGGAGACAGCGCGCACACAGAGCGGCCGTGCTGGAACGACAGCTCCCACAGCGGATCCGTTTATTCTCCAGTGGTAATGACGGGCCATTCCAACCAGAAGGTTCCAAAACCTTTTAATGGAAGTTGTTTCTGCCAACTGCATTAACTACACCACAGGGCAGACTGCGTTTGCTAGGCCATGGCTTCTACTGTGCAATTTTGGGATCATTTACGTCCCCGCACCCCCCAGCCCCCAACTTAAAGCTACGTGGAGTCCGGGAGAGTCCGGCGGACCAGAGCCGCTTTGTCGCCGTGCTGCAGCGGGCGGAGGGCGCCGTTCACTTCAGCCAGATCCACTTGTCGCCGACGTCGGCGTTGTACCCGGGCGCGTACTTGCGGCCTGGCAGCTGCGGGAAGGAAGAGCCGTTGGTACACCGTGCAAAATGAGCGAATGTTCCCCAGCTCACCCGACACGCCTCATTTCACTCATTCACCCAACGGTACTGGCGAGTGCCTGCCCTGCAGCAGGTCTGCTGTGAGCGCCAGGACACAGCCAGAGAGCTCAACCGTAACACAGCCCTGACTTCCAGAAGCTTCCATCCTAGGGTTGGGAGTTGCCAGTGAAACAAACCCCCTAAATGTTCTCATTTATGTCGGGAGGGTGGCAGGTGCCACGGGAGGGAGGACTGAGGGCAGTGGGGTGGCACTTGGGGGTGGGAGCACCTGTGACACCGGGGGGCTCGGGCCTGGAAACCACAGGCCATGCTCACGCTTCGGCCACCCTGATCTGGAACAGCGTGACTGTGAAAACCCCACTGGGGAAATGGCCCATGGAGAAGCCACTGTAGTGGCCAGGGTCCCGGCTGGAAACAGCACTCACTCGCGGGAGGACGAGGGAGAGTTCAGCTCGGGCCTTTGGAGCAGGCGTGGGCGGGCTGAGGAAACCAACACAGGAGGGGAGCCCGCCAGGCCCGGCCACAGCAGGAGCTGCAGGAGCCGTGGGAGGACACGGCCGTCAAAACCCAGACGGCTGCAGCTGCAGGAGAGGGGCCGGCCAGAGCAGTGCTCTGGGCGCAGGGCAGGAGGGGACCTGGGTGGCAACACGAGGACGGTGCACAGGGGCGGCTGCGGTGAGAGAAGATGGCAGCCTCACCAGGGAGCTGGAAGCCTAAACCCGACAGGAGTTCTGCCGTGACGAGGGACATAGTCTAGCACAATGTTTCGTCAAGTTACAGCAAGTGGGAAAAAATATCGAGTTTTTCGTATTTTCAAATCAACATGGACAAACAGCAGATTTTATACACTACTCACGTGAGAATCTTCCAAATTCTGCACTTACAAACAGGTGCTAAAACTATTGTTTTAAAAAGTCAAACTTTTCCTCTATCCTAAGCAACAAAAGGCATTCACAGCCAGCCACGCCGGCCACCGCTGCCGGGACCACAAGCCACGGACACATGCCCTGCCCGGCCACGCCAGCCAAGACAGGTGCACAGATGAGTCGAGTGAGCAGGCCGCGCAGTCGTCCTCAAGACCAGCTGTCTCAGAATCGAGGGCCGGCAGTGCTGACCATCTTCTGCGGGGCCCTGGGTCCCCCCTTTTCCTTTCCCAGAAGCACCTGCCTTCCTAGGAGCGCGGGTCTGGAGTGGGAGCCGGGGCGTGGCGCTGTCGGCGCTCGCTTGGAGCAGGGAGGGCGCGGCCGACACGCCTGTGTGCCAGGGAAGGCGAGCACGGGTCTGGAGCGGGAGCCGGGACGTGGCACTGTCAGCGCTCGCTTAGAGCAGGGAGGGCGCGGCCGACACGGCTGTGTGGCCCAGGGAAGGCGAGCGTGGGTGTGGTCACGGAGACACGGAGTGGGAGTGGCCTGTGGGGGCCACCCGGGGGCCACCGTGCAGAGACAACCAGCAGCAGCTGGAATGCTGGGTCTGTGGCTCAAAGTCACGGCTGTACAGCCACCACCCAGTAGCTGAGGGCGGGCCACCACCGGACGCAGAGCATCGGGTGACAAGAGAGGATGGGGCGGGTCGCACCGGGGGGCGGCTGAGCCAGGCCCGCAGAGGGGCTGAGCAGAAGGGAGGCGAGCGGGCACGAGGGCAGATGGCGATGGCACGGGGCACACCAGGCCCCACGCCCAACAGCAGCCCCGTGGCCACTGGCTCTGCACGAGGACGGGGGCAGGAGAAGAGACCACACTGGCGTGAGGCACCACCAGCACCTGAGAGAGGCAGACAGGATGGGGCTGCCCCTACGTTGGGAAAGGCATGGTGTGCATGTGCGTGTGTGTATGTGTGCGAGTGTGTGCGTGTGCATGTGCATGCGTGTGCAGAGGGGATGCTGGGCAGTCTCTGTATCGGGAGAGGGTGGGAACTGCGCCAGGCACGATGACGCCCCCAGACCTGTGACTACGTGACCTCACATGGCCAAGGGACCTGGCCAGGCGGGTTGAGGCCCCGAGACTGGAGGCTGTCTGTGTCACTGAGTGGGCCAGCGTCACCACTGGGGTCCCACAGATCAGAGATGTGACGCTACCCCGGGCCGCACCCAGGAACACAGGCGCCTCTGGAAGCTAGAAAGGAAAGGAAATGCGTTCTCCCTCCAGCCTCCAGGAGGACCCAGTCCTGCCAGCACCCGACATTAGGGTCCCGACGCCCTAGAACTGTAAGAGCAAACAACCGCGTTGCTCTGAGGCACTGGGTGTGTGGCAGTCTGTCACAGCAACCACAGGACACCCGTACAGGCTGTTCTGCTTCTTGTGACAGGAGACACCCGGGCACGTCTGTACGACAGAAGGGAACGGTGCGGAGGGACAGGCCAGAGACGCGGGAGAGGGCAGGTCGCCCACTGAGAACAAGCACGGAGGGCGGGTGGGCGAGCCGGCAAGCGCCGACCACACCGGGTGCTTCCGGGATACTCCGCCGCATCTGCAGAATGGCTGCTGGCGCAACTGCTGCGGCAAGAAAATCACGTTTTAGTTGTGATCACGTGTAAAAGGTGCTCCCGCCAGAAAACAACTTCTTTCTACCTGAAGGGCCAACCGCAGAGTTGTGTCCAAAGAACAGAAACGCCTCAACAGAGGAGCTGAAAGGTTTCCCGTCTTGCCAACACCGGAAGCCCACACGGTGGCAGCGGGCACCCTCCCAGCACCCTGCACCAGCCCTCCCGGGTTCACGAGACGTCTGAGCCCAGCAGGGGAGCCGCGCAGGGCTGCTCAGAGCAGCACCCACGGAGGGAGGCCCAGACTGGGCACCGTCTGGCTGTTTCCACCTCTGCAAATCGAGTCTTAAACCAGAGCAGAGAATATAACTAGCAAAACATCGGGCCTGCTGAGTCCGGGCAGCGTCCACTAATTGCCTCACAGAATGTGCTGCCTGGACGCCTCGGGCAGCGTTTTATCAGCCTCTAAGATCCAGGAGAGTTTTTATGACCACTGGGGTCTCTTTCCAGTGCTTTTAAGCCCACAGAGACCCACAGGGAGGGTTTTCATTTGGAGCAACTCACACCAAGAGAACACAAAACCTGCTTATTTTACATCATCAATTTCATGTCTGCACCTGATTAAAAGAAACCTCCTACCACCAAACCCAGTCCTCACTCATCACCCTTCCCTCGCGGGGCAGCCTCGCTCCAGAAGCGACACTGGCTCAGACTCGGCGCCGAGAGCCTCGCTGCCCGACCTGCGCACGCGGGACGGCCGATGCCCAGCAGAGCACAGCACGTTCAGGTGGAGAAGGGTGCGGCCAGCTACGCCAGGAGCGGGCTTCAAAAACGAGAAGACGCTCACTCTAACCTGTGGGAAGCCTTAGCTTCCGCTGCCTGCACAGTGGCGAGCAAACCACGGGCCCTCAAGGAACAAACCAAGAGCAACGAGCAGTGAGGGAATGAAAGCCCTTCACTGCTCATTCTTTGGAACTCCCCTCTGAACACACGATGCGAGGATGAGTTCACTGACCGGACCTCTGAATTCACGGCATTTTGGACTCGCTCAATTCATGGTACTTTGGTAAGTCTGATCCTTCCAGGAGGCTGTTTCCCACATTTTCCATTAAAAAATCAAACACCAAGTTTACTAAAGTAAGGGCAAAACACAGTAAATTATAAAGCCAAACACTCAAAGTCCTCTTCCAGGGCCCAGTGGCTGAGCTGCCTCTACCCGAGGTCACGGGCACACTCCTCCACCAGCAGCCATGCGGGCCTTCCGCAGCACAGCTCCAGCCAGGAGGGACCCCAGACAATGTGCCGAGGTGGCCACTGCCAGCAGCCTGGCAACCGGCCTGACCCAGCCCAGGTACCGAGTCCCCCGCCCTCAGCCTGCCAGCCATAAGGCCTGGCTGGAAAAGAGCCCACGCCCGGGCCCCACAGAGAGGGAGGCACTGCCCTCCTGAAGGAGGTGCAAGGGCACGTGTATGCATGCATGTGAGTGCATGTGTGTGTGTGCATACATGTGTGTGCGTGTGGTGCATGTACGTGTGTGCGCAAGAATGTGTGTGCATGCAAGTGTATGTGAGCATGCACGTGTACATGCTGCAGCCCAGCCTGTCTCGGGGTCTAGATCTGCATTTTCTTCTCCAAAAAAACACCTGAGCTGTATCTTGCTCCTGCTGGAACATCTGGATTCACGTATAGGAGATCTGAAAAGACAGCATCTGAATGCGACACTCTGATCAAGATCATTCCCAATTTCCCTCAAATATTCAATTGAGTGCAAATCTGTGCATCAGAAGGCCATGCTTAATTAACAGCCATGTTTTAAACAACAGACACGATGGCCTTCCTGATGGTCACGGTTGCTGAACGGCACCCACAGCCTGGCGGGGACCTTTCCCTGCCCCTGCTGACACGCACCCCTGCGAGGACAGACACGGAAGGAACGCCAGGGCTGCCTCCCTGCAGGGACGCCGGGGGCACAGGACGTCCGTGGAGCCAAGTCTGAGCCCGCACCCTCCGGCCCGCGCCTGCCAGCCTAGCCTGACCGCCCACAGCACACCACGACCCGCAGCCACGCTGCTTCTGCTTCGTTTCCCTGTTGTAAACAAATAACACTTGGAGGCAACCCCTCCAGATTTGTGTGCTTAAGATGAGTTTCTAGAAAGGGAACTGCTGCTTAAGGAACAGCAATAAAGGCCGGAGCGACAGGTGCTGAGGCAGCCATCCGAGTGCGTCAGTCCAATAACGCAGGGGCCGCCGGTCCAGGTTATTGCACTGCTTGGACCCGTGGGGCCGGCTCGGGGCTCCTGCTTCGCTTTATGAATTTCCGCCATGCTCTGGGCCTTTTTCTGCCCAGTGCTGTGGTCAGCAGACTGCAGCCCGCGGATCAGGCCTGGCCGTTCTGTAAATCAGGTCTGACAGGCGAGCAGTCGCAACCACTTGTTCGCACGCTGCTGTGGCTGCCTTCGCACCCCAGCGGCAG